GCACCCTGACCCCTCCTCTGTTCTCTCTTAAGGGGCTGGAGGGGTGACTGAGGTGGGAGAGGGGTAGTACTGTCCCAGAGAACCCAGGTTGAGAGCACACACACCCCCTCCTGGACAGTGGGGCCAGGGATTTGTGACAGACTCACCCGGGTGCCAGGGACCTCCTTCCTGTCTTTGATTCAGGCTCTGGACCCACCCAGTCCCTCCAGCTCTGGGTTCAGGGATCCGAGGCTGCCTGCCCTTCCCACCCCAGGGCTCTCCCTCCCTCCCCAGGTCCCTGCTCACATGATGACGATGATGCAGAAGGACAGGAAGAGCAGGCCTGTAGCACCTGCTCCTCCCACGGCCCCCAGCACCACTCCTGATAAAGGCCACGCTTTTCCTGCAGATAGATTAGGTTATTGGTGATTCCCCTCTGAGAACTCGGTCTAGTCTCCTCCCACTCCCTGTAGGACCCCTCAGTTCTGTGTTCAGGCCCCTTTGCGAGATACAGAAACAGGGACATGGGTTGGGGCAGGGACAGGGGTTAGGATGAGGAGAGTGAGGCATACAAGAGCTGGGTTGCAGCCTGTCTTGATTTAAAATGTTGAGATTTTTTTCATTGTGACATTTATTTTGCATTAATTTTTTTAAAAAAATTGCATCAAAATATTAGCTTTTATGGCTGTGATTTTTTTGGCTTCTTATTAAATTTTGGACCCATGGTAAGTGCCTCACTCGCCTGACCCTCACCCCAGTCCCGCAAAGCTGGGACCTTGTGTCCCCAGACACACCTGTCCAGGTCCCAGCCCCTCTCCTACAAGACCCACCTCCTTCCCTGGCTCCCCCTCCAGCCCTCGCCCCACCCCACAACCCTGTCCTGGCAGGAAGAAGACAGTGACCTTCTGAGTCCTAGGGAATTTCCAGGCCTCACAACCCAGCACAGAGCAGAGCTGAGCTCCCCTCTGAAGCTCAGGGGGCTTCTGGGTGGACTGAGGGGTGGGGTGGGTGCTGTCCTCCTCCTCCAGCCCCTCCCCCTTCCACAGGTGCACTCACTCTGCAGAGAGAGGCTCAGGGAGACGTGCAGGGAGCCCCGAGGGTGCTGAGCTTGGCAGGTGAATTCACCCTCATGCCCCGACTCCACCCGGGGCAGCTCCAGGACCCCAGGGTTTGAGGGCTGTGAGGGACTCAGGGTCTGGCTTCCACGGGCCCAGCTCAGCCTAGCTGGGGGATTGCTGGCGACAACACAGACCAGGCGCAAGGACTGGCCCTCCAGGACTGCAAGAGATGAGCCATTCTTCAGGATTGTGGGTGCTGGAGAAGAGACAGAAGGTCAGAGTGAAAAAGAGATCAAAAGAGGAAGGATGCAGAAGGAGGCTGGATGAGGACAGACACAGAGATATAAGCCGAGGTGCAGGAAAATGCTCACTTTCACCCCTCCCTTGTGGGACTGTAAACTTGCCCACCTTCCTTGCAGAACAACTTGGCCACATCTCTCAAAATTGGAAAGAACATTTGAAACAGCTATATTTTGCTTTTTGGAACTTTTCCCACACACTTGCACACACACTTGTGAAAGGAGACACAAGATACTTCATTGCAGCGTTTCTGTTAATAGAATAAAATGAATGCCATGATTTTCCATTAACAGAAGATGCATATAAATCAAAATCCAGTCGGCCCATGGAATACTGACAATCCCGGAGAAGAATGAGGAGAGTCTGTATTACTGATGTCAAAGGACCCCGAAGATCCTTTAAGTGAACAAACCAAGGCTCAGAGCAGCCTATGCGCCCTGGTCACTTACCAAGGGGGGACTCTGCATCTGAGGACAGACTCTGCTGTGAATTCTGAGTTTTTGAGCATGTGAATATGTTACCTGTTTGAAAGTACTTAAATAAGCAACTGGAAGGGAAAATTAAAAGATAAAGCTGGGAGAGTCATCAAGAGACAAATGATAAGGGGCCTCGAGATGCGAGCTCTGCTGTAGGAATGTTGCCCTATTCTCGTTGTGGAGCTGAGGGAGATCGAGAAGTCTGAGGAGAGTGAGGGGTCAATGGGTGCCATGGGGGCTGAGGATGTGAGGGGCCACTGGGATCACCCACAAGGGGTGCTCTGGTCACCACGTTGAGTCCAGCGTGAGGCACGGACCCTGGAAGGGGGCTCCTTCCTACCTGTGCTGTTTCCTTGGAAAACAGTTACAGTCAAGTTCTGTGGAGAATCTGGGACAGAAAGACAAGGTGGACACGCGTGAGTGGTGAGGGCTGTGTGGACATCGGCCCTTGTCCCCAGGAGCTGCATAAATGGAGGAAGGGTGGAGGCAGGCATCCTCAGGACCCGCTCCCAGCATGCATTCTGGGACCCAACACCCAGTGTCTAAGGCCAACACATTTCCATCCCCATTGCCCTCAGGACCCCATCAGGGACTGGGACATCCTGGCGCAGCACTCACAGGACACGTTGAGGTGGATGGTACGGGTCCTGGTCACTCCTGCCCCAGGCAAGGTCACCTGACAGGTGAGGCTGGTGCCATGGTCCTGGGGCCGTGGGGTGAGGGTGAGCACCGAGGAGAGGTGGGTCCTGGGGCCCAGGGAGGTGAGGGCAGCTGATGTCCAGGAGAAGATGGGGGGTGTGCCCCGCTCACAGGCCCACGGCACAGAGCAGGTCAGGTTCCTGGGGTGGCCCGACTCCAGGGTACCTGAGATGAGGATGTGAGGTGTCTGGGTGAGGACTGGTGGGAGAGAAAGAGACATGAGAATCAGTAGGGAGGGTCTGAGGTACAGCCATGAAAGTAGACTCAGTCTTCAGTGTAGCTCCTGCCTCTAAACTCTGACCCGCTGTACCCCTAACCCCAACCAGGAGCAGAGTCTTCTCCCAGTCGCGTTCTGGGACTCCTGTGTGCTTCCCCTGTGGTCTCTCCTGGAGCCCCATCCTTACCCATCACACGCACAGAGACATGCTTGTCTTTGGAATTATATGTTGTTCTTCCTCTCTCCACCCAAAAAAAGTATCTTCCGGTGTCACTCCTCCTGGCGTCTCTGATGTCCAGGAAGCAGTTGGAGGTCGGGGAGTCCCAAAGGAGGTGGAATCGGCCCTGGGTCTCCTCCTGTACTTTACCATATGGGTTGTTTGTGGCCACTGGAACGTCTTTGTATGTGTTGGCCCCTTCCCGGAACCAGTAGCCATGAGCTGAGGTAGAAGTAGTCGAGCCATCCCGAGGGTATGCGACAGGGCAGGCCACCCGCACACACAGACCCTCCTGCACCCTCACTGACTCTTGCACTGGAGGCTTGTAGCCCTTGTAATTTTTTGAGGGCTCCCTCTGGCCCTCAGCCCCCTCCCTCCACCAGAGCAGGGCCAGCAGCAGCAGCAGCAGCAGCATGTCTGGGGTTGGCAGTCTCAGGTTCCTCCAGGGAAAGTCTGTTTCTCAGCGTTCTCTATCGGGAACTAAAAGTTGCAGATTTAGAGGAGGCTCTTACAAGAAGATGACAGTGAGGTCAGAACAGTGACCCTCCTCAGAGGAGGAACTTCACAGCAAGACAGAGCTGGGGCTGGGACAGCTCATGGAGTCAACCATCCACCACCCCTCCAAGTCCACTCCTGGGGACCCTGGGCCAGAGAGGGTGAGATCCCCACCCACATTCACACATCATGCAGGGCGTGAGTCTCATCTCTGGCCTTTCAGTTGATGTCTTTCTCCTCAGGAGTACATTTTCTGTAAAGTAAAAATGTGTCTCTTCTAATCAGATCTCCTATTTCAAGCCTATAGATATTTCTGGAGTTCAATCCAGTCAGGTGTGCAACTCAGGGACAAAGGAGATGAAGGTAGCCAATTGTCATCTCTCCCTCAGCATCCACGTGATGGGCATCTTCTCTTGCTCATGAGGTCACACACCAGCCCTGGATGCTGCCCTGAGAGTCACTGTCCAGTGGGGAGACAATTGGTATCCCGGCACCAGAACCTCCCTGTGATGGGAAGACATAGAGACACGTGTAGAAGACACAGAGTGAGTAACGTTAGCCTGGGGATCATCAACTCTCAGGGATGGTGAGGACTTCCTGAGGGAAGACTCACACACCTGAATTCACAGAAGGTTATTTTTAACTGTGTGGTGGGGGCGGGGAGGAAGTGGTGGGATCCTGGAAGGTGATGCCTCCTCAGACCCATGTCGATTTTCTTGAAATATTTTTGGGCAAAACATAAGACATACAGAGAAGTGTCCCCAAAAGAACAACTCAGGGATTCACCAAAACTGAATGCCTTTCAAGAAATATAATGTTGGGAGCACCCAGGACCTCCGCCTTGGTCCCCCTCTGTATCCCCACACCCCACTCCACCCAAGGAGCCCCAGCCTCACTGGAATGCTACCTTATTCCTTTATTTTCTCTATAGTTTTATCATGCAAGCATGCTGCCTTTAATACCACGGCTTTGCACACGCTGTTCTCAAGACTTTGTATACATAGAAAAAATTACAGTTTGTTTCTTCTATTCAACTTCATGAATCTGCCCCTTCCATATTATCCCCTTCCCAGAACTATCACCGAAAACCAAGAGTACAGTCAGTGCTGTGATCATGGAGAAGGAAGGTGCAGGGTTTCAGCCTGCATAGGCAGTCCCCCACCATCACCATTTCCTGCATTTTCAGCTGGAATCTCAGCCTGCAGCCCCATCCCCCAGCCGGGTCCCCGTGTCCTGGCCACTCACTCTCTCCCTGTTGGGACAGTTGCAGCATCTGTGATCAGAAAGGCTTGCCCATGGTCTGCCTGTTTCCCATCATCCCCAATTTGCAAAGAAAATCAGAAGGGGAAGGAGAGACATGAGGAAGCCACAGAGAGTCTGTGTGCAAAAGAAGAACTATGACCGACAGGCCATCAGAGCTGGAAGACCTTCTAGTCCCAGTTCTCCAGTTTGCAGAAGAAGGCAAGGAGGTCCAGAGTGGACAAATGAATCGGCTGAATCACACAGCTGTGATGTATTATGTGCCATTGATTATACTGGAACCCACCTCAGCAATTTTTGTCTGCCCAAGTTTCATTGGGCTGTAAGACAGGAAGCTTACTTAATCGGAAAGGGAAAAATTGTCAACTCATCCCATGAGGTGAGGGAGGAAATTTCATTCATTTAATCATTCATTCATCAAACAACGATGTGCACTGTGCCTTCAGTTTTCCAGTAAAGGGGTGAAATGACAGACCTAGCCCTTGCCTTTGAGGAGAACAACAAGTGGTTGGGACAGACAGGTAACATGACAATACTAGTGCCCTAGAATACATGGCTCTGATGAGTGAAGCCCACCTGGTGTGGGAGGGGCTCTTGCTCTTCTGGACTGGAAGGTGAGTCTCAGGGAGGACTGGGCCAAGTAGACATGGTGAAAACTCTCAGGCAGTCACGAGGGATGTGAATTCCACATGTGACCCTGGTACCCTGGGAATTCTTTGACTCTCAGGTATTATGTTCTCAATCCCACTCACTCCCCCACTGTGCTGGAGATCCTCTGCCAGCTACCAAGTTCTGTGCTCTGTTTGTGATCAACCCCACCTCTGCCTCAGCAGGGGTCAGGCCACCACCCATAGGGGGCGCCCCCTATGTCTGTTGAGGACTTACCTGGCTCCTGGGGATCCCTGGGAAAAGACCAAGGTGCTGTCCGTGGTGCTGAATCAGAGCTGAGTGCTGACTTTGGAGATGTCTGCAGCTCTGTAGGGGGGCCTGATAACATATCACAGGGACCTTATGTTTGGAGTCAGGAGTGTCAAGGTATCAGATGTGCTGGGAAGGGCTCAGGTTTACCTGGCAGGAGGGACTGAGGGAAAGGGAAGATCTGTACTTCCTCTCCTTGCCCTGTCCACCCTCAGGAATGTCCTGTGCAGAATGCCAGGCTATTGTCACTGGTCCCAGTGCAGGGAAGGTGAAGGCTCTATGCTGACCCTTTACATTTCTGTTCCCATTTCATTTCCCAGCATCCCTGATAGAGGTGGGTAATCCCTTCATCAGACAGAGGAGGGAGCTGACACTCAGCCAGGTGAGTAGCCATAGTAGCTAATCTCCAAAGACGACCCCACACAATCCCTCCCTCCTTTATGCAAACACAGTGCTCCTCTCCTTACAAGATGGAGTTTGTTATGATTATCTTCTCCTCTTGAACCTACATTGGGTCCGTGACTGCATGACCAATGGAATATGGATGACAAGATGTTCTGAGAGTGATACAGCTCAGACATTAAGAAGGCCTGGCAGCTTCCACTCCTGCCCCATGGATCTCTGGGCAACTGTGTAAGCAATCCAGGGGACTCTGATGGAAAGAGAGGCTATGTACAGGAACCCTGAGGGGTCAGACGTCCAGTCCCAGTCACTGCCACCATCCGAACAGGACTGCCTGAAAGAGCCCAAAGCAAAACTAGGAATGAATCTACCCAGCCAGGCTCTGGCCTATTTATAGCTCTATGAAACAGAATAAAATGACTGTTTGGGCCACTGAGATTTAGAGTGGTTTGATCATCAGAAAAAGATGAATGAGACAGTAACCACAAAAATCATAGCTAATACGGAAAAAGTAAACCTGACAAATGTTTCCTCATACTGTATTTTAAAAATGACTTTAAGAGGGTTATCTGAAGCCTTCTGTGAAGATACCTGTGGAGTCTTTGCCAGGCTGGACTACATTTCCCTGAATCTTCTTCCCTATTTGTTTCCAGGTTAAATTTATCCCACAGAGAAGGGAGAAGTTGAAGCCGCAGCCACGAGGCTCTGAGGGTCAGTGGAGGGGCAGGTGCTTTTGCAGCTGTCACAAATCATCCCTGATCTGTTGGCTCATCTTGCTGGCGAGACACAACAGCTGCTCAACTGCTGGGAGGCAAGGAAGGTGGTGGGGGAAGCCACTGGCTGGACTTCAGGGGACAAGAACCATCAAGCCTCAGCCCATGGATTGGTGATCCAGGTGGACATAGGTGGCCCACAGAGATGTTTACAGTGGCGTGCAAAATACAGGACAAGAGCATACTAAGACATTATCCCAGGTCTCTTTGACCTGACAACTAGGGCCGTTTGTCTATTCATAGGAGCACCATCTTCCTCTGAACAAAGCACATGCAACAGCACTTCTCAGTACTCAGTTCTCAATGCCCAGCGGTGTGTGTGTCTGTCTGTCTGTGCATATCCTGAGTATTGGGCTCCCAGGCCAATGTGATGGTCAATTTTATGTGTCAACTTGACTGGGACATGGGATGCACAAATTAAATGTTCTTTGTGGGTGTGTCTGTGACGGTGCTTCCAGATAAAATTGGCATTAAAAGTGATGAACTCAGTAAATAGATTGCTCTCCTCAATGGAGGTGACGTCATCAAATCCATTGAGGGCCCGTATAGAACAAAAAGTGATGCCGGTCAGATTTCCAGGGTAACTGGATTCCAGCATCTCTGGGACATGGACCTCAGGTATTTGGGTCAAGGCTAGGGAAGATAAAAGGGCTGACCTTGGTTTGGGGAGGGAACTCCCTCTGCTGGTGCCTCCCAGGGTCCTTGAAGGCTTCCAATGACCTTGGATGAGAAGAAAAGTCTCCTTTTCTGGAACTTACCCTGCCTGTCACATTCAGGAACAGCTTATTATTTTGTAACTGCATTTCAGGTAATAACCTCTCTTCCCTTGAAAGTAGTGTGCCCTCTTGTCTCCATTATGTACATCTCTGATGCTCAGGGAGCAGTTGTAGTTCTGAAGATCACCAAGGAGGTGAGGTGGAATCATTCCTGAGTCTTCTCCTGCACTTCTTTGTCGGGGTCATTTGTAGCCACTGAGGCTTCCTGTCTAGGACTGGGGCCCCATCTTGG